GTTTGCCATTTGCTTCTCCAGCTCATTTTACAACTAAGGCAAACAGGGTTACATGACTTTCCCAGGGTCACCCACCTAATAAGTGTCTGAGGCTGGATTTGAACTCAGGAAGATGAGTCTTCCTGAATTCAAAGCTGACACTCTATCTACTGTACCACCTAGCAGCCAACCAGGGATACAAAAAGAGAAAGGAAATTGTCCCTGCCTTCAAGGAGCTTACATTCTCCTGGAAGAAAATAATGTATCCACAAGTGAGCATGACACAAGATAATTTGAGGTGGGTAACAGGATGACCTGGATGGAATCAGGAAAGGCTTTGTCCCAGGAGAGGAGTGGGAAGGACAATAAGTCTGGGACACTATGGATGTTGACATTAATGTATGTAGACATAATTATTGTGGCCTAAGAGAAGTTCCCCTGATGTGGCCTATTGGCTCCCAGTGGCCACTCAGATTTAACTTTTTCCCCTGATGTTCTTTAGGTTTTGCAGAAGTGGGAGGGTATGAGGCCTTCACTGAGAAGTACATGAAAGCCATCCCATCTGTCATCATAGACCAAAATGTAACTCTGAACCCAGGATGCTACATGCCCAGAGCAGACTCCTTCCACCTCTTCCAGGATCCCATCACTGGTGAACTGCCATGGCCAGGAGTCCTCATTGGAATGAACCTTGTTTCTCTTTGGTACTGGTGTGCAGACCAGGTGAGAGGTCCATAAGAGAGGAGAGGCCTAAGAGCTATATAGCTAATGAGAGATAGAGGCAGGATTTAAACCCAGGTCTCTGACCCAAAGCCAGTGGTTGGCCCACTGTATAGTTCAACTCCTTCATTTTTTAGGTAAGGAAACTGGCTTAGAGACCTTGGGGGATTTGCCCAAGGTCACCCAAATAGTGTGTGTGTGAGACATGCCTCATGCTCTCCCTGCCTCACTTGCCTCTTAGAAACCCTGGCTTCCTTTGAAGTTCTGCTCAGGGCCTTTTTCTTCTTTTCTCTCCCTTCCTCTCTTCTTTCTCTTTCCTTTCCTCTTTCACTTCCCTTCCCTTCTCTTACACACACACACACACTCACACACACACACACACCTCTTTTTCTTTTCTCTCTCTCTTCTTGAACACACACACTCTCTTTTATTCATTTGTTTATTCAGTTACAGTTCAAATTTCATGCAATCATGCATTTCGAGACCTCTGAGATCCTGTTCATCTTGCAGAAGGAAAACAGGTCTAGAGATGGGAAAGGACTTGCCCACTGTCACACAGTTAAGAATCCAAAACAAAAATACTGTCAGAGCCATGGCTATAACTCCCCACAGGGTCAGACTCCTTTAGCTCTGAAGTCTCTCTCTGATTAGAAGCAATAAGAGTCAGTTTGTGATGATTTCATGGGTATCTTTCAGGACATTAACCTCAAGAGATTAGGAATGTGGCCACAATCACCCCCAGCTTGCCTCAATGAGCAAGAATGCATTAATCATACATTAATCCATCTAAAACCTTCTCTAAACTGTATTTTGGCCAAAACTCCGTTGTCCCAAAAATATTTCCTAATTTCCCTTCCCTATCTTGAACCTAGGCTTCTTTTTCTTCACAAATATTTGTGAAAGGTAAGGCCTTGTTCTTCTCTCCCTCCTCCTATCATTTGGACCATGATCTGCCCTTTATTATGTCTCTCTATCAGCAGCAAAACTCAGAGGATCACAGTGATCATAGAGTCCAATACCTTCCTTTTACAGATGAGGAAACATTCAATGATCAGCTGCTCAGAGACATTCCAATGTTTACTTGAGGTCACACATGAGTAGTTGTAAGCGATGGGATTTGCACTCAGACTGTCTTACTCCAGAACCAGTTATTTAGTCAATAAACATTCATTATGTACCTACTATGTGCCAGGGACTATGCTAAACATTCATGGTAGAAAAAGAGGCAAAATTTCCCAACCTCAAGGAGCTCACAATCTAATGTGGAGAGAAAACATGCAAACAACTAGACACAAACAAGCTCTATACAGGACAACTGGAGATTATTAACAAAAGGAACTCAGAAGTCTGGGATTAATGGTATTGGGAAGGCTTCCTGTAGAAGGTTAGATTTTAGTTGGCATTTGAAGGTCAGGGAGGTCAGTAGGAGAAGGAAGAACATTCCAGACATAGAGGATGGGCAGAGAACTTGCCCAGAGCCAAGAGATGGAGAGTCTCGTTCATGGGACAGCCAGGAGGCCAGGGTCTCTGGATGGAAGAGGACATGAGTGAGATGTACAGTGTGAGAAGACCAGAGACATAGGAGGGGACTTGGTTATGAAGGGCTTTGAACACTAGACAGCATTTTGTATTTGATCCTGGAGGCAATGGGGAGCCACTGGGGTTTATTGAGTAAGGGGTGACATGGTTGCACCTGTACTTTAGGGAAATCACTTTAGTGGTTGAATGGAGTGTTGATTGGATAGAGATTTGACACAGGCAGAGCCTCCAGCAGCTACTGCAATTGTCCAGGTATGAGGGAGTGAAGGTCTGCAGCAGAGGCGGGGTGGTGTCAGAGGAGAAAAGGGGGTGAATTTGAGAGATGCTGCACAGGTGAAATTGACAGGACTTGGCACCAGCTTGGATATGGTGGGTGAGAGAAAGTGAGGAATCCAGGATGACTGCTAGGATGTGAGCCTGAGGGACTGGGTAAAGTGTGTTGTCCTCTACAGCAGTAGGGATGGAAGGATCAAGCGAGGGTTTTTTTCAATATGAAGGAGACCCAGGCATGTTTGTAGGCAGTAGGAAATGAGCCAGTAGACAGGGACAAATTATTGAAATAGTTGGTATGACAGAGAGAGGAGACAATGTATTAGAGGAGATGGTTTGAAATGGGGTCACTTAACAGGTAGAGGGGTTAACCTTGGTAAGCTGTAAGGCCACTTCATCCTATGAGGCAGGCTTAAAGGAGCAGTGGGAGAAGGCACCTGAGTGATAGGAGATAAAGAAGAGGGGAGAAGGGGGAGCTCAGAGTGAATGGCTTCCATTTTATTTTATAAAATATGAGGTTCCTCGGTTCTCAGCTTTAGAAGCTGTGGAAGAGAGGCCATGGACAGGTTTGAGGAGTGATGAAAAGATTTGGAAGATCCACTGTGGAAAGTGGGAACATGAGTTGATAAGGGTAGTACAGGAGGATTGCCAAGCAGCAGTGAGGGCCCAGTCGAGACTGTGTAACCAAAATATGTAGTGAAGCGGGTCAGAACAGTTTCATGATTTTCTCCACCTTCCTCCAGCAGCACGTACGTAGGAGGGGGTGGAAGGTGGGAATGATCTGTGGCTTAGGCTTGGCAGGGCACATTCAGCAAATTCATACTTTCTCTTCCATGAAACATTTCTCTCCTTTGTTTCAATGCTGTGTTTTGGCCAGCATAAACAACAACAACAAAAACAACAACAGCTAACCTCACTGCCTGAGGGGCCATAGAGTCTAAATGCTTGTCTACAGCATTGTCAGTAGGCAGTTGTCCATTTTTTGATTGAATATCTCCTTTGGTGGGGAACTCACTACCTATGTCCTAGGTTGTCCATGGAGCTGGACAGCTCTAATGCCAGAACATTCTTTCCTACACTGAGTTGAAAGTTGCCTACCTGTAACTTCTATCCATTGCTTGAAATGAGAATCAGGTCACATCCCCATCCTATGGAGGAGCACCTTTTAATTTGAGGAAGAGAGTCCTGGGGCCCTACACCAATCACAACTTTCTGTTTCCTTGGCAGGTGATTGTGCAGCGATGCCTCTCAGGGAAGAACATGTCCCATGTGAAGGCTGGCTGCATCTTGTGTGGCTACCTGAAGCTGCTCCCCCTCTTCCTCATGGTGATGCCTGGTATGATCAGCCGCATTCTGTTCCCAGGTAAGTCCTCTCTGCCATCCGTTCACCCTCAGCCCCTAGGAAATGCTGTGATGCTTCAAGTGTTGGCCACGCATCTTCTCTACCTTGTGGTCAGTAATGAATGTTATCATGTTTTTCTCTGCAAATCCTTTTCCCTTCAAGATCTCATTTTGGGGTATGGACTATATTCAGGGGAACTTGCAATTTGGAAGGATGTAACACAGGGGAAGAGCACTAAATATGGGATCAATGAATCCCAAGGTTGGGTCTAAGCTTGTAACTTGGTCATGTGATTGCCACCTACCACCTGGCAAGTCACTCTAATCACTAGGCCTGGGTTTCCTAATCCATGAAATGAAGTGGTTGGACCAAGTACCCTCTAACTCCCCTTCTGGTTCTAGATCTGGTTCTGAATCTAGATCCATATGGTACTTTCAGGTTGCGATGGAACCTTGATTATTCTGGAACTCTTGTGAAACAGAACATTTGGGTTAATTTAATTTTCAGTCTGGCGATGAGTGGCCCTGAAAACCCCTGTTATTTCTACTCTGATATTTCTAAAGTGCCGACTTCTCTGTTTTAGTAAGGATGAGTTAAGGGGCATAATTGAGCTCTCTGAAGCTGATTGAAGATCACATTGTGGGGATCCCGTGACTTCTGACTGCAAGGTCCCAAGCCTTTTTTTATAAGCCCATTCTAGAGAATGGAGAGAAGGAAGTAAATGTGCATTTATTAAGTGCCAATATGTGCCAGGATTTGCACTAAGCCAATACTATCTCATTTGATCCCCTCAACCCTGGGAGGTATATACTATTATTTTGTAATAATTTTACAGTTGAGGAAATTGAGGCAAACAGAGGTTAAGTGATTTGCCCAACATCACAAGTCTTCCTGAGTCCAGGACTAGCAGTATATCAACTGTCGCAGTCCACAGAAAGGGGATGGGGTTATTCCTGGCATTGTGATGTAGTGGTATTGCTGTCCCAGGCTTTTGGTGTAGCCTCACAGGTTATGCCTTTCTCTGCTGTTTGAAATCCCACCCTGGACCCTCTGAATCCAGACCTCATGTTTATTCTGTTTTATTATGTTGCCTCCCCACTTTGAGAAGTCATTCAAATATTCCTAATAGGAAGGTTAACACTGAGTAATGAAACTGAAAAAAATCATGGTACAAGAAAATAGATAATAAGACATATCTATTTCAAGGCTGACTTAGGGGTCTAATATTTGTCTCCAATTGTCTTTCAGACATCCCAGACCAGATATCCAGTAGACATGTTAAACTCAACATGTCCAAAACTGAACTCATAATCTTTCCCCTTAAATCCTCCCTGCTCCTACCTTCCATATTACCGCCAAGGGCAACACCCTCCTCCCAGTCCCTCAAGCTCACAACTTAAGGATCATTCTAGACTCCTCACTACCTCCCCCCCTTGCCAATGCCTATTGCAATATCTCTCAAATATACCCCCTTCTCTCCTCTGACACTGACCCTATGCTAGGGCAGACCCTCATCACCTCATGCCTGGACTATTTCAGTAACTGCTGGGAGTGGGGGTGGGGGTCTGCCTTCCTTAAGACTTTCTCCATTCCAATCCATCCACTAAAGTGATTTTCCTAAAGCTCAGTTCCTACTCTGTCACCCCCTTACTCAATAAACTCCAATAGCTCCCTCTGGCCTCCAGGATCAAATATAAATGCTCTGTTTGGCATTCAAAGCCCTTCATAACCTTCCCCCTCCTCCCTGTCCAGTCTTCTTACACCTTACTCCCCTTCATCGCTACTCTTTGATCCAGTGACCCTGGCTGCCTGGCTATTCCATGAGCAAGATCCTCCATCTCTTGGCTCTGTGCATTCTCTCTGGCTGTTCCCCTACACCTGGAACTCAACTGCACCTACTGAGCTCCCTGGCTTCCTTTAAGTTCCACCTAAAGTTCCACCTTCTACAGGAAACCTTCCTCAATACCTCTTAATTCTAGTGCTTTCCATTACTTATTTCCTATTTAATTTTCTTTGTATCTATTTGTTTGCAAGTTGTCTCTCCCCATTAGACTGTAAGCTCCTTAAGGATAGAGTGTCTTTTAACTCTTTTTGTACCCCAAGTGCTTTGTATAGTGCCTGTCACATAGTAGGTACCTAATAAATGTTGATAGACTGATTGATTGATTGATTATAGAGAAATATTCTCTTAATCAAGGGTTCTTAACCTGGGGGTTTGTGAACGTAAAAATACCTCTTTTGGTACCTCTATTTCAGTCTGATCACTTTCCTTTTTAATCTTCAGAATTTTGGTTTATTTTATTCACTTAAAAACTTGTTGAGAAGGAGTCTACAGGCTCCATCAGACTGCCAAAGGACACTAGCCAAAAGATAAAAAAAAGCTGGATCTAAATAAAGAATATCGTATACATTATCAGATGAAGTCACTTCATTGTATGTTGCTGGATTTGTTGTTCTTTGGTCAATCTTGGGGCAGGGGCAGAAGGTTCTTTCTAAATTCTCAGAAATGATTGTGATGTAATCAATCAAATGATGAGCATTTATTTAGTGCCTACATATGTGCCAGGTACTGTGATGGTTCTGGGAATACAAAGACAAAAATAAGTCGTTGTCTTCAAGGGGTATAACAAGGACAACAATAAAATGTGCTTTTTAAAATATGTTTTTAAGAGTCAAGACATATTGGGAGACTTCAGTGAAAAAGTGGGAAGCAGAGGGATGGGTTTTTGTGCCCTACTAGATGTTAAGCCAGCTCTCAAATTGGGCACTTGTCTCAAGGGGGGATCACATCTAAGTGGGAGCTGCCAGGCAGAATCTCCTGGCCCCAGGTGAAGCCCATTAGCCACTGCCAAGGCAGACACTCAGAAGCTCCCTTTCCAGCTACTACACCAGTGGGCTCAGCTCTCCTCACTGCTTGGACCCTGATTGACTGGAAATCTCTCTGTCTCTTTCCACAGATGAAGTCTCCTGTGTTGTGCCTTCAGAATGTGAGAAATATTGTGGTGCCAGCGCAGGCTGCACCAACATAGCATACCCGAAGCTGGTGGTAGAGCTCATGCCCAATGGTTAGTGCCCCCACCATAGGGGGTCTTGAACAGTGATTTTATTGAAGAGATGTCTCTAGGAAGTATTGGAGCCCTTTCTCACTGAGTTCCAGGATTGAGAAGAACCTCAGGAATGATTTATTCCAATCTGGCCTTAAGAAACCCCTTTACATTACATCCAACAAGGGGTCATCACCCAGTCTCTGCTTAAAGACTTCCAATGGCAGCCCATTCCACTTAAGGTTAAAGCCAATTGTTAGGATGATTTTCCTAAGACCAAACTATGGGCCATAAAATTCCAATCAGTAACAAAAGTCTTTGAGTATGAGCTCCAAGCATATTCAATTTATTAGGGATACTGGTGGCCCTAATTAGGTGGGTCCAAGATCTTCCACTTGATCAGGGTCCCCTCCCCTTTTGTGCTAGCTACTTTTATATACTTGGAGAACACTAAAATAGGAGAATATTACAATTCATTGACTGGTCAGTTCCAGAAGTGGGGAAATCTTATTCTTGACTAGGGAAAATATCCATCAATCATAACCACTTTGTCAACACAACTTTCTCAGGTCATGAGACCTTTTACAGGTCATCAACCCCAGGTCATCTCAGCTAAGGTCATAAGACCCTTTCAGTAACATCTCAGGGCCCTCCACAAGTCATAAGATGCTAAGTTTGAACAACCTAGTATCCTTGGGTCCAAGGAAATTGTGGGTTTGAAGCAAAGGCAACAAGGGAGTGGACAGCAGTGCTTCATAGGGGAGAGGTGTATAGGACCAACAGATAAACCTTATTACACCACATTACAGAGTGGTTGGGGGGGGAGATAGTGAAGCAATTACATTCTTATTACATTTCCAACTAACAGTATAAATCTCACTGATAAATATAAGTAATAAATAATCATCAACACAAGGTGGGTTGATTATTCATAATTGTTATCATAACAGCATTAACATACATAACTGAAACAATTCCATTCTGTTTAATTCACTAATATAATCACTGATACCCATGAAATCACAATGAACTTAATAAATGTGGATTAATTTGAGTGGGAGATATCGAAATTATTGTCACAAAACCTAATTCTGCTTTCTTGTAACTTCCACCCATGGCTCCTGGTTCTGCTTTCTTGGGCCAATCTGAACAAGACTAATCCCTCTCTCTTATGATTGGCCTTCTAATACATGAACACAGCTATCATGTCCTCTCCCCCACTCCCTCACCCTTTACTATCCTTTTGAACTCTATATGAATTTTAGCTTGTCTCATTGAGGGTACTTATTCTTCCTTACTTTCAAGGAGACTTGAACCCAAGGTGTAGGTTCAAAACTTGCAGGCACCGACTAGCTGTATGACCTTTGGCAAGTCACTTAACCTCTGTCTGTCTCAATTTCTTTATCTGTAAAATGAGGTAGTTGAATCAGATGGCCTCCAAGGTCCCTTCTAGGTCTTAATCAATGATCCAATGAACCATCAGGTGAATCTAGGCCTGGTATGCTTTACTTATCTGAAAAAAGTAGAAAAAACATCAGCATCCCCATAAACTCATTTAACAGAGGACTACAGGTCAACCAGACTATTTCCCTGACATGATGTCAAGGAAGACTCCCAAGAACCAACCATGATTGCCTGGCTAATACCAAAGCTAATGGAGCTCAGATTGCATAGACTTCTGGAGAACGGAAAGGACCTTAGCTGTCACTCAGTCTAAGCCCTCACTGAACAGATAAGAGGTGAAGCTCAGAGACTGTCAATGACTTCATTGTAATCATGTCTCCCATTTCTCCAAGACTGTGAAGTCTACAAAGTGGTTTCTTCCCAATAATCCCTGTGAAGCAAGTAGCATAAGCATGATTTGGCATGATTAATCTCATTTCATAGAGGAAAAGGCCAAGGTTCAGATACCTGAAGGAGCTTTTCTAGTCTCACACAGCTAGTAAGGCAGAAGGGCTAGCATTAAAATCCAGATGTCTGCTGTGTCTAGAAGGTTCCCTGTCTCTGGAGTCATTTTTGGGTAATCAAACTCATCTGAAATTATTCCAGGGTATCTCAAAAAAAATACAAGTATGGCTCATATCAAGATTTCCCCAAATGTATAAACAGTCAAGTTGTGTGTTTATTTTGTCATTTATCAATAGTGTCTGACTCTTCATGACTCCAATAATGTTTTTGTGGCAGAGATACTGGACTGGATTTCCATTTCTTTCTTAAGCTCATTTTATAGCTGAGGAAACTGAGGCAATTAGGGTTAAGTGACTTATCCAAGGTCACACAGTTATTAAGTGTCTGAGAACAGATTTGAACTCAGAAAGATGAGTTTTCCTGACTCCATGCCCAGCACTCTATCCACTGCCCTAACTACCCAG